CATCAGAGTCCCTTTCACATCAAAGTCCTTCACTTCACATCAGAGTCCATCCCTTGCACATGAAAGTCCTCACTTTTCAGGGGACCCCCCTTCACATCAAAGACTCCTCTTCATATCAGGAGTTCCCTTTACAAAAGAAAGCCCTTCTTTACAACAGAGTCACCCTTTTTCACATCAGGAGCCCCCCCTAATATCATAGTCCACCCCCCTCCCCCTTAACAACAGAGTCCCCCCCTTCACACCAAAATCCCCTTTTCACATCATAGTCTTTCCTTCACATAAGGATCCCTTTACATCAGGAGCCCCTTTTCCTATCCACCCTTTACATCAGAGCCCCTCTTCCCCTCACATCAGAGTCTGCTCCTTTCACATTAACAATCCCCCTTTTTCCATCTTTTTTCAGGAGCCCCCTTCACCACATGGTCCTCCAATTCACATCAGAGTCCTCCCCTCACATCAGAGCCTATCTTCACATCAAGAGCTCCCTTTTACATCAGGAATAAAAATCTTAAGGATGTCCCGTCGCACGCCTGATATCTCACCCAAAGTTACTCCGGTGGGTGCTGTAGTGGCCAGTGGATAGCACCGCATATAGAAGAATGAAGAATAAGGTCACCAGCACACCAGTTTCCATCTTATCGATCCGTCTTAATGTGTCACATTGTTTGACTGATGAAAGACCACATGCAGTTACGAAACGTTGCATTTTATGTGATACCATTATTATCTCTCTGGTGTGCTGGTGACTTTAATCTTTGCTCCCCTTCACATCAAGACCTCCGTTTCATATCAGAAGCCCCCCTTAACATCAGAGTCCCCCCTTCACATTAGAGCCCCCCTTCCCCATCAGGAGCCCCCCTTCACATCAAAGCCCCCTTTTACTTCAGAATCCCCTTTGACATCAGAGTCCCCCTTTACATTAACCACATTTTACATCAAAATCCCCTCTTCACATCAGAGTCACACCTTTTCACATCAGAAGCCCTCTACATATCAGGAGCTCCCCCTTTTGCATTAAAGTTCCCCCCTTCTCATCAGCAGCCTCCCCTTCACATCAGAGTCACTCGTTTTAACATCACGAGTCCCAGTTTTACATCAGAATCCTAACTTACTGTAAGGTGACTAGGTCTACTGTGCATGTGTGTGGTCCCGTTTTCCGTACAACAAGAAAATGTGTGCTAGTGCGTATGCGCGCGCAACGGGATGTACGTCCAAAGGCACCCTAACCTCTGGCGCACAGGAAGTGATGCAGTATCCCTAATGGATCAGCCTATTTAAAGCAAGCATGGTCTGTGCTTAGTTGCTGGATGGTCTTTCAGCTTGTCCCTGTGATCCTGTTGTTCTGCCTGATTATTGCTCCTGTGTTTTGACCCGGCTTGTACCTGACTTCTCCTGATTGCCACCTGCCTTCTAACCTTGGAATTGTTACTGGACTTTGCCTCTGCCTCATCCCTTGTACTTTGCTGCCCAACTGGTGTGACCCCTGGGTTGTCTGACCTTGATTCTGCCTGCTGCTCTGGTACCCTGCTGTCTGCCCGGTGTGCTCTACCTGATCCTGATTCAGAACTTCTGCCTGGCACGGTGCTGTCCCATTCACTGGTACCCGTGCTACTTGCTGTTTCTCAGGCTCTGTTCCCATCCTCAGAGTCTGAAGGATATGAGGTGCAAGGGAAGACTCCTCATGCAACCAGTCTCTAGCCAGGTAAGTGATACTTACAAACAGCTGCAGCAGCATGGCAAAGGGCGGGTGGAGGAGCAGGTTTGGATAGAGATGAACTCCACATACAGAGTTCCCTCCATCCTCTTCTGAATGCTGGGGTGACCCTAAATGCTGCCCACCCTGGATTAGCGTCGACGTGATCTGTGACCCTGTGTGAAAATACCAGGAAAACTGCATCCTGTATTATATCTATATGGAATGCAACATGTTTTTTACACAGCACCCCTGACCAGACGGCAACTTAGTTGAGAAAGAACGATGAACAGTAAACAGGCTTACGTTAATGATGTCTCCAGTCACCCATGGGAGTGCATAGAAACCCACTGAAAGCTTAAAGTTACAAGGAATCTAGTTGCAAAGACTCTTGAGGACTCCAGTTTCGAAGACTCTCTCACTGCCATGTGGCAGTGCTGGGTGCCTGAGCAACCAATTGCCAGGGAAGGAAAAGAAAGGTAAGAAAAAACAACTGCAAAGCTGGCATATAAGAAAGCCTGTTGACTTGCCCAGCATGGGCATAACACAGATTGATATTAAAGGGGTCACTATCAAAAGCAGAAGTTTCATTCAGGGAGATGTTTGTTCTAGGCTGCTGGGTGCCACACAGCTTCCTTGCAGAAAGACCCCTCAGGACAGTCCACACATGTGCAGTAGATTTCCTATTGATTCCTATGGGAAGCCTGTCAATAGTTTAACGCAACAATCAGCAGGCTTCCCATAGGCTCCAATAGCCTAATTCATCGTACTGTTCACTGACATGACCTTGTTTTTGTCATTATTTTCAAGCCTGGGTGGTTTCTTTTACCTGAAGCTTGCAGTTTGAACTTCACACATTTCAACATACAATATGTCAGAGAAGGCAAATAACATTATCAAAGTCAAGGTTTTTAACACCCTGTGCACCACTCTTTTTGCCTTTTAGTATCCTTATTAGGACACGATCCACGATAAGCAGGTAAATCATCACAGAATGCAAAAATTCCAGTTAAAAGATGGACTGGAAAGCAAAGGGCTCAAAAGTTTCTCCAAAATGTTTTACATAATATCTGAAGTTTCTATACATTTCTTTTACAGGGCAGATGATTTTGTTTGGGATGCCACTAGCTTTCATGAGTAACCACTGCTGCTCTCCCATAGTTAAATGCTCTCAAATAGGTTAATTTGTACTCCACAAACTAGTTCACATTAATCCTTATTGTGTCAACTTGGTCTACAAGTTGACACAATAGTTGTTAAAGTGTTTAAAGACTGGACTGTCAGCCGAAAATCTGGGTCTGAACGTGCGAATTGTGGCCGTCAGTGACTAGTCAGTGTTAGGGCAGAACGGAGAGTGGCAAGACTGGTACAAGACAACAGAAGGGCAACAGTGCATCAAATTACTGCAGATCTTAATCAGGGATCCTCTCAAATGATCTCTGAACGCACTGTTCGCCGTACACTGCATCGTATGGGATATGGAAGCCGAAGGCCTGTTCGAACACCTTTGCTGTCTGCAGTTAACAAGATAAAACGTCTCCAATTCGCACAGGAACACAAGGATTGGACAGTCGAGCATTGGAAAAAAGTCATGTGGTCCGATGAATCACGTTTCCAGTTGCATCATGCAGATGGCAGAGTGAGAATTTGGCGGGAACAGCATGAAAGCATGCACCCCATATGCATGAGTACAACCCTTCAACCTGGTGGCGGCAGTGTTATGGTTTGGGGCATGTTTTCCTGGCATGATTTGGGCCCTTTAATTCGTGTGGAACGTCTGAATAGCACAACATACCAAAGTATCGTTGCTGATCAAGTTCATCCTATCATGTTGATGGCATATCCCAATGGAGATGGCTTCTTCCAACAAGACTATGCGCCATGCCACGGTGCTCGTATTGTGCAGGAGTGGTTTCAAGAACATGAGGGAGAATTTACCTTGCTTGTGGCCCCCACAATCACCAGATCTCAATCCAATTGAGCATTTGTGGGACGAAGTTGAAAGAGCCATCAGGCAGCTGGTTCCACAACCATCAAATCTCACAGAACTGGACAGTGCTATTCATTAGGCATGGTGTCAGATTCCTCGCATCACCTTTCAACATCTCGTGGAGTCAATGCCAAGAAGAATCGCCGCAGTATTGAAGGCAAAAGGTGGCCCAACGAAGTACTGATGAGGTGATCATAACAATCTGGCCACTCAGTGTATGTACTACATATAGAGTACACTGCAGCAATAGATTTACAATTCTCCCCTGCTAACATGAATGGGTTAAATGATCCATAGTAAAACTACATGTTATGTACTATTATGTACCATGGATCATTTAATCCATTCATATTAGCAGGGGATAATTGTAAATCTATTGTCTGCAGTGTATTAGCAGTCTGTACTCTACATGTAGTACATATAGAGCACAGACTGCTAATACACTGCAGACAATAGATTTACAATTATCCTATGCTAATATTAATAGGTTCTTCATAGGGACCCCCCTTGCCCTCACTCATTGCTCGATGATGGCTGGTGCCTCACAACATGCCTCGCTGGTGAGGTCGTAGTCGGTGCTGTGCGGGAGCCCAGAGGTCACCGGCCAGCTAAATTAGGACCCCACCTGGACCAGCTAAATTAGGATCCCACTAGACCAGCGCTGACTCGCCGCTGCTCTCCCGCACAGCAGCCTGAAGGTAAAAAGAAATAGCTCAAGCATCGGCGCATTTTGACAAGTACAAGTCAAAATGCCCTGTATCGTTCCCGATACCGATGCTAGTAGCGGTATTGGGACATCCTAGTATTGCACTGTTTTTTTTGCACTTAAAATGAACTTAAAGGAAATGTTTTATTTAGTTTGATAGGATTTGACATTACAAAATTTGTAACTGCCATTTTATTCTACAGGGTCTGTGCTTTCAGGAAATATATAACTTGTGGGGGCATAAAGTAATTTATGCCCTAAAATGTGGATTGTAACATGTTCACAACACAAAAACCACCTGGGCAGGGAAAAGGTTAAACCCACAACTGATTTTTTTTGTTTACCACTGCTTTTCTATATTATAATAATAATAAATAGAATAGTGCTGTACATCGGAATATAGAGGGACAGTTGGATCCGGTTGTAGCAGTGACCTAAGCAGCACCGCCCGGCTGACACACTACAGTATATAGAATGCCTTACACACGTATTTGAATCTGACGGGCGGGAAAAAGTTCGGCGCATGCGCATTAGCTGCTTTTCTCATTTTCCCCTTATCAGCCTGTAACACCAGAGCGCTTTTCCCGCCGTTTTTCACTGGAGAGCGGCTGCATGGCAGAGGACGCTGCTATCGGGGAGCCTCCGTTTGGCGAAGTGGCCGATGTGGCCACAGGCTGGGTGTTCGATTATATGTTCGCCCTCTTGTGCCGCTACTTCACTGCGGGGGACCGGGCGGAGGAATTCCAGCGGACATGTAGAGCGATGGAAGGTAAATAAAAAGTGACCGGCAATTCATTCTAGTGTTTACTTCCGTGTTTAAAATCCGTGACGTAGCGGGACGAGGGCGGTCCTAAGTGTTTCACTGACACGCCCCCTGTCAATACATGCTCGTCACGTGAGAAGAAGCTGTACAGTGTCATGTAGCATCATCAGAGCAATGAGCACAGCAGTAACTATGGTGATTGTGTTCCATGACACTGTACAGCTTCCTCCTATGTAATGTGCATGTATTAGAGGAGGTGGTTCAGCATTGTTCCTGGGACTGTAGTGTGGAGGATGGTTCAGGCTGGATAATGAGTAAAAAAAACTAGCCATACACGGCCAGATTCCTCTTGTTCGAGGCTGAATGACAGAAATCGCTTGATTTCCCCCCATGCACACTAACCAGCCTGGATAGATGGAGAAATCTCCAGTGCCGGCTAATTTCATTTAGACAACTGTCACCTGCTGCTGCCTGAATAGCGACTGAAGCAGATCATTTTCCACCTGGCTCCATTGTTTTTTAAATCAACTTTGTCATGAGCTGGCTGAAGCCGACAGGGTCTACTGTCATCTAAATTGTAGACGATTCTGCAGAAATCAGACAAAATCCGAACTGTCTATGGCCAGCCTACCTGGGAATAGGTGCCAAAAATAAGTCTCCTGAACTCCAAGGTCCAATGTGTAGAACGCCTTCAGGGCCCTGTCACACCAACAGAAGTGCGTTCGGGCCTCTGGAACGCAACCCGGCCGGCTCAGTTTTTTTGGGGGCATGGCGGTGCAATGAACTCAATGGCACCGCAGTCATGACCCCCGCCGCTGGTGTTCTATCGAAAGTTCTAACTCGTCGAGATCTTCAACTACCTGACTTTCGGTTTAGTTAGAAGTAAGAGGTTTGGCCGAGAAGCGTGTACTGCACATGTGCCACCCGCGGCATTTCCCTATACATATACTACACAGCAATAAAGTATTAAAATGAACTAGGACCAGAGTAATCCAGCACGTTATTAATCTGAGTTGCCCCACTCAATATGCCCGTCGCTTGCAGCCATATTAAGTGGGGCAACTCAGATTAATAATGTGCTGGATTAGTCTGGCCCTAGTTAATTTTAATACTTTATTGCTGTGTACTAAGTGTATAGGGAAATGCCGCGGGTGGCCCACGTGCAGTACAGCCTTCTCGGCCAAGTCTCTTACTTCTAACTAAACCGGAAGTCAGGTCGTTGGAGATCTTGAGGAGTTGGAGTTTTCGATAGAATACCAGCACCTGAACACGTGGCACATCAGTGCCTGCATTCTGGTCCAGTGCAATCTGCAAAAATGCTGCAAACAATATTTTTTGCATATCACACTGGACAGGAATGCAGGCACTGATGTGCCACGTGTTCGGATGCCGGCGATCGCACCGTGAGTGGGGGGCGTGGCTGCGGTGCCATTGAGTTCAATGCACCATCCCGCCCCAAGAAAAACTGAGCCGGCCGAGTTATGTTCCAGAGGCTGAACGCACTTGACTGGCCCTTCAATGAAGACGCCAAACAATCATGGTGATTCAAGTGAAACACAACATTTTGGAACCGTTAGTGGTCAGTGGTGGCTAGCCGTCAGTGTCTGCCTGAAGAAGGTACTGAAACGTGTTTCACTTGTGTCATCATGATTGTTTGGTGTCTTCATTGAAGATGTTCCACACATTTGACCTTGGAGTTCGGGTGACTTCTTTTCAGCATTCGCACTTACGCTGCGCCCTCCGTGGGTCATACCAGCACCCATCTTATTACATATGGGATTCCAGTCTGGCGTGCGGTGGGTCATAGACTGTTAACTCACCTGGGAATAGGGATGCATATGGGCCTGGTGTGATCTGAGAATCGGCTGCGGCCGGGGCAATCTCCATCCCCTTGTTTCACACACTCAGCATAGCGGCTATTCAGAGGACGTCTGGTACTTCTCTCAATGAATACTAGGCATTCTCTGATTGGATGAGGAGCAGTGATGTCACAGCAGGTGGCTCTCAGTTCCAGCTGTCACTGACATCTGGGGTCCCGACTGATGATTGGGAACAAATCAGATTGGTTGCTGAATATGAGATTGGACTAATAATCGCATACAGTCTGGAGGTTTCACTGAAAAATAAGTCTGCAGATGAAAATAACCCTCCTCAGGCTGCAGTGCCCCCTGTTTAATATTGTAATTGTCCAGTATTAAAGGAGAACTATGGGGTCAGTGTTTTTCCCCATAGTTCTCCTTAGGGTAACGGGAGGACACAAACTAGCGTCCTCCCGTTACCCTAAGCTCAGTATACCGCGAGCTGCAGCTCGCGGTATACTGAGACGCCGGAGCGGATCCCGACTTAGATGACGGGATCCGCCCAGCTGCGTGAGTGACAGCTGGCTCTGCCTATCTAGAGGCAGAGCCAGCTGTATCCGCCCCCTCCCCCGTCCGTTCCGCCAGTCAGCGCTGGCAGATCGGAGCGGGGAGAGGGGAATCCAGCCCTCCCCCTGTCACAGCAGAGAGCCGTGACTGGATCGAGAGGCGAGCGAACCCGGTATGTGTTCGCTCACCTCCCGATCTACTGAGCCGACCTGTGACAGTCTCATTGTCACAGGTCGGCTAGAACTATGAAGTGAGTGAAAAGCACTACCCTCATAGTTCTCCTTTAAAGAGAACATTATATATGTGATTTTGATACCTGTTCTTTTGCAGTTCTTCTGGAAGCTATGCCTGCGCTGGATTCAGAGAAAATTAAAGTTGTAGCAATTGCGCAGTTCCTTACCCGTGTTCAGCAAGGAAAGCACCTGGGTAATTGTTTTCACTTTTGTCATAAAATTGTATTAAAACAGGTTGCAGTTCTGGAATATGACAGCACTGGAGGATGATGGGTTCCTGGTAGCTTCACGTTTGATTCTTCTCAAATCTTTGCGAGTTAATTTGCGTCTTTCTTTCGCAATACGTTTCTGGCGTTTCCCTGTTGACTATTTGCAACAAAACCTTTGATGGTTCTGTGATCGCGCCCCAATATCTTAGCAATTTCAAGAGTTCTGCATCCCTCTGAAAGACTTTTTAACATTTTTTCACTTTTCAGAGTCAGTTAACTACTTCATGACTGAGGCCTTTTTTCAATTTTTTGCACCCATGTTATATTCCACATTTTAGGCCTGAAAATTACTTAAAACCCCCAAACATTATATATTTTCTGAATGCCAAGACCCTATAGAATAAAATGGTGGTAGTTGAAAATTTTTATGTTGCGCAATATTAGCGCAACTCCTTATTAAACCCCAAAATTTAGTGACAAATTTAATTAAATGCCCCAAAACACAACAAATTACCCATTTTTTTAATGAAATATAAAAGATGAGGTTACAACGAGTAAAACGATACCCAACATGCCCAGTTTACAAATTGCGTGCGACCGTGAAACGGCGAAAAACTGCAGTACCCCAAAAAGTCAATAGAAGACGCTTTAAAAGCCCCCACAGGTCATCAATTTAGAGATACCCCAAAATACTGGCCCTAGAATTATTGCTCTCACTCCGGCGTGCGCGGCGATACCCAACATGTGTAGCTCGTTCGTCGTTTTCATATGTAGGCACTCGCGACGCGGGGGGCTTAAAAACATTTTTTATTATTAGATTTATTTTAATTTAAAAAACTTTTTTTTTTTTTTTACTTTACTTTGACTGCTATCACATAAGGGGGCTTACAAGCCCCCCCATGCGATAGCAGATGGTGGCGACAGGTACTCTTTAAGGTGATGCTGGGGGTCCAAAAGACCCCTAGTGTCACCTTTACACTGGAAATAAGCTATTGAAGTGCAGATCGCACTTCAATAGCCTATAGCTGGGCTGCAGGAGCCCAGAACTGACAGCCCAGGGACCGGAAGTGATGCAATCTGCATCGCTCCCGGTCCCATAGAACGGGGAGGGGATCGATGAACGGAAGTTCGTCGACCAGCTCCCCGCGGACACCAAGGACGCCGGTCCCGGGCCCGTAGGAGGGGCAACAGAGCCTGGGAAGCACGGCGGGGGGGCTGGCCTGAGCAAAAGAAGCTGCCCAATTATTATGCACACCTTGATATAGGGTGCTGGTCTCCTAAGGCCACACCCTCCCCCATTACACAAATACACATCACCTGATAAGCCTTCACTTTTATACAGCTTGGAGTTGGACAATATGCATAAAAATTGTGATTTGGTCAAAATACTCACCTGCTTAATAATTGTGCACAGAGTGTAAATGCCTATAATAAATAAATCATATTCAAGAAGTGGCAGTAGACATGGAAAAGCAGAGATCACTACAACGAATAAAGCAGGACGATGCATGCTCTCATGTCCTTGAGTACAGCTTCCTCTTCAACAAGCCGTGAAGAGCATGGTAGTGACGTCTCACTCTAAATCCCCCGAGACCAGCAGCTTTGTGCCTTAGATATACAGCTATTTGGTCACATGCCAGGAAGGACACAGCTGTTTCTCAGGAGGAATAAAAGGCAAAATATACACTTTAATAAGGGCAGAAAAATGAATCTTTATATACATTCCCTATAAGATAACAAATCTCCATTACCGCTCCACTTTAATGAACAATATTGTCAGCTTCTTAATGCATTAAAATCTATGCTTTCACCTGTCCGAAATAACCTGCTGTAACCTAGACTCCCAGTTTGAAGCAGATGAGACGCTTACACCTCTGGAGACTGCCGCCATGGTGTTATGCCAGTTTGAGGAAGAAGAAGAAAATCTCAAGAATCTTCAGGAAGAAATAAAAACTTTAGTGAAAGTTCAGGTGATTGTCATTATTAGACTCGTCTATGCCGTGTACTAAACATGCAATACTTCAAGATTGTTCTACAGATGCATCGCTTAATTATTAAATATGATATTTAAAAAGCAAGTTATTGGAAGTTAAGGAAAGCCGAGCTGAGAGAGCTGGAGTCAGCTGTTTGGAAGCATGATGAGTGGGCAAAAATGTAAAGCAACCCTTTGATGAGCAATGTACAGTACAGTACAGTATATTTTTATGATCAGGATTCATTACTTTAAAACAAGTGAGTTTGGTACAAAACTCTTGCTAGATTCTTTTTATTTGGCGTCCAGGTTAGTAGAGCGCGCCTCTTCTGGTGTTCTACATTACATTTCCATTGGCTAGCAACTGCTGAGATGAAAGGACAGCCACATAGAGACTGAGGTGAAAATGCTTTGAGAGAAATGAAAAGTAGCCTGCATATGTAATGTTTAAATATGCCTATTCCCATAAACATATATAGTGTGTGTGTGTATATATAGAAGTGAGGTTTTTAAACCACTAACACGAGGGATCCACCAAGACCGATACTAGCATCGGTATTGATGCAGATACAGAGTATTTGGGCGATTACTCGCAAAATGCACTGATACCCCAATACCAAAATTTCCGGTCGCGAGGGAGCATGGAGACGGCTTCCCGGCTAATCAGGAAGCAAGGCGGCACGTCATGACTTGCCTCTCAGCTTCCTAATTAGTTAGGAAGCTGGCTTCACTTGTTGCTAGGCAGTCTGACTTCCTGACCAATCAGAAAGCCGGTTGGCATGTCATGACCTGCCTCTTGGCTTCCTGGCTGGTCAGGAAGCAATACTGCCTAGCAACAAGTGAAGCTTGCATCCTTGCCAATCGGAGTCGGGTCCTGAAGTGCCACCCTGCTTTCTGATTGGTCAGGAAGCCAGGCTGCCTCGGAACGTGAAGCCGGTGTTCTTCCGATAGAACACCGGCTTCCCAGGCAATCCGGAATCCCGATAGCGGGTCATGACCCGCTGCCCAGCTTCCTGATAAGCCAGGCCCATGGTACTGTGGGATGCCGGAATCGGTATTTGTTATCGGCAAGTACCAAAAGTGAATCGGTACTTGCTACTAGGGATGCACCGATACCACTTTTTAAGACCGAGTACCGATACTTTTTCCCCAAGTACTCACCGATACCAATTACCGATACTTTTTCTTAAAGGGACCGGTCACATTTTTTCTAAAGCAATACAAAATCATGTATTTTAGGTCAGTTTCTTAATATTATGAAGAACATGAAATTAATATTTAGAATGTTTTTTATTCAAAAAACATTTTTTTTAAATGGTGATTTCGGAGCTTATGTACATGATGGGTTGTTACAGCAACTGAGCCTTTTCAGCTTCTAGCTAAGATCAGAGAAGTCAAGGGAGACCTCCCAAACAATACCTTTTAAGGCCACTAAACTCTAGAAGCCATGTGAATGTATTGTAGACTGTGTAATCAACACGCAAACAAGGGTATAAGTTAGTAATCCTTAACTACTACTGTAATACTGGATCCGCTTTTATTGTTGTAGCTACACTGCTAAAATCGCATTGATATGGAATTCAGCATATAACTGCCGAGTCCTTTAAAGTCACTGACTCCACGATTCTCTTGCAGCATTCCTCTCTATTAGCGCTTCATTACCGGAGGATAACATGATTAAAAAGATACACAAATATAACCTTGGATTGGTTAATTGGCTTTTAAAGGGTAAAAAAGTTGTAGATCTTTTGATTACAAATACTTCCTTTGCAGGCTGTAGCAGTTTGCATGGAAAAAGGAAAATTTAAGATGGCGTCAGAAGTTCTTGACCGACAATTTGACGAATCGGAGGGGAGTAAGGTAACGTAATATGGGAAACCTGTGTTGCATTAAAACGGTATTCTATAGAAGGAAGGATTGAAGGATATGTTTGCCTCATATCAAAGTGTGCATCTCTTTTAAATCCCCTTAACAGCACATCACATCTATAAATACAGCGCAAAGTTTGACTCCCGTTGTTAATGTAAGTGGGCCATCTAGTGGCCCAGGGGCTTAATGCAGTGATTGTTTTGGGTCCACTTGGCATCCAGTCGTGTGTCAAATGGATTCTAATAGCTCATTAAAGACATTGCCATACATTTGCATAGATCTTACAAGCAAACCGCATAGGGAGACATGTATAGGATTTGTGTATTCTGTAAGAATTCATGAAAATAAATGAACAGCACAGTGGTGTTGTGGTTTGCACTTCTGCCTTGCAGCACTGCGGGTCCCTGGTTTGATTCCCAGCCAGGTCACTATCTGCATGGATTTTGCATGTTCTCCCTGTGCTTGCATGGATTTCCTCCGGGTACTCCGGTCTCCTCCTACACTCCAAAGACATGCTGGTAGGTTAATTTTTGCTGGGGAATTTTCACTTTGCAGGGGAATTTTTCCTTTGTGAATGAGGTGAAGCGCTGCTTACTTCCATCATCCAACCATGTGCAAGCATAAATACTTCGGGGGTTAATTTCCTTACACGTGACTGGGTATTCTTTGGAAAATTTCCTTGCAAAGTAAACAGCCTATTTGGCTTTAGTAAATCAACCCCCTTGTATCTTTCTTATTTGGTATGCACTACTTTCAGGTTTATTGGAAACCACTTAAATGATCTCTCTTATGCTTCAGTATCTAAGAATGAAATTGGTTATGGTCATCGGGAAGAAAGATCCATACCATGAATTCCTTGAGAATTTTAACTACAGCATAATGTTGAAGAAAATCAAATCCTACATCGGCCTTTTGTTGGCTAGGAGGCCTCCAGTTTTCTTAATACAGGTGCGTCTATGGGAAGCCAGTATTGCTAAATGAAAGTAGATTCAAACCCAAACTAGATTTAGCTTGCTAAAGCACTGCGCAGACATAGATAATTGCCATGTTTTTTTTTGTTTTGTTTGTTTTTTAAGGAGATCAGCATCACTTTTCAGTAACCTCACATGGCTTCCAATACCATCTCTATTCCGATGACACTCAAATATATCTCCACTCCACAACTTACCCCTCAGTGTCCTTGTGTGTCACTAATCTACTAACTGACATATCCGTCTGGATGTCACAACACTTCTTTAACCACTTGAAGTCTGGAGTGTTAAACCCCCTTCCCATCCAGGCCATGTTTCAGTATTCAGCGATGCGCTACTTTGACTGACATTTATTCCGTCATGCAACGCTGTACTGAAAGGAATTTTATACCCAATTTTGGGGACAGATAGAGCTTTCTTTTGGTGGTATTTAATCACCACTGGGGTTTGTATTTTTTGATATATAAACGAAAAATTACAGGGAAAAAAAAAAAACTGTCTCTCCTAATATTACATTCTAAAACATTTATTATCACCCAATTTTTTGGTAAAATATAAAAGACGCGGTCACGTAAGCAGGGGGAAAAAATGCCGTCTGGTGACGGCAACCCGCTGATGCGGCGGCAACTGGTTAAACTTAATCTTTCAAAAACTGAGCTCATGATATTTCCTGCCTCCTGTGCACCTTCCCCCATCTTCCCTTGAGATTGACAACACAACTATTCACCCCTCCCCCCATGCCAAGGTGCTAGGTGTCATCCTTGACTTGGAACTTCCCTTTCTGCCCCACATCCAATCACTATCCAAATCCTGCCGCCTTCACCTTCTTCAACATCTCCAAAATATGCCTCTTCCTCACCAATGAAACCACAAAACTACTCATCCACTCACTTGTTATCTCTGGTCTTGACTATTGCAACTCCCTCCTCATTGGCCTACCTCTATACAGGCTATCCCCCCTTCAGTCTATCATGAATGCAGCTGCTAGATTCATCTACCTAACCAACCACTCTGTCTGCATCTCCCTCTGCCAATCCCTGCACTGGCTTCTAGTCGCCCAAAGGATAAAATTCAAAAGCCATCCACAACTCTGCCCCCGGCTGTATCTCAAACCTTGTCTCAAAGTTTCACCCTAACCGTCCCCTCCGCTCTTCCAAAAAAACTCCTGCTTTCCAGCTCCCTCATCAAGTCTTCCCATGCTCGCCTCCAGGACTTCTCTAGAGTCTCTCCTATCCATTGGAACTCCTTACCCCAACCTGTCCATTTATCTCCTACTCTGACTGCCTTTAGGCGGTCACTAAAGACTCGTCTCTTCAGAGAAGCCTATCCCACCTCAACCTAACCACTGAACTATCACATTATCAAACAACTATCTTCATCCCCACACAGCTACCTCCTCATGTATCACTTGCCCCTCCCTTTTAGATTGCATGCTCTCACGGGCAGGGCCCTCCTTACATCTTGTCTTGAATTGTATTGTAATGCCTTCCTTATATTGTAAAGCACTGCGCAAACTGCTGATCTTATATAAATCCTGTATTATAATAAGTAGCTGTAAAGTCAGATGCTATGACAACTGCAAAATCTGTTTTAAGGCCAAAAAATTCTGTTGAAGAGTCACTAAACTTCTAACATTTTCTATTGGCCATGTATATTTCCTTAATGCAATTTTTCACACTTCCTAATGCTTACAAAAGTGGAGAAAAACATTAATTTCTATAACCAGACAGGGACTTTGTTAAAAGACAATAATTTACAATACATATGTTTTAAAGCATCACTCTTCTCTTTTGCTTTAAGGCAGCCACAAAGGTGGTAGAAGCCAAAGCAAAAAGCAAGGACAATACCAAGACTGAAGATCAGGAGCATAATAGACAGACCTGTGAAAGGTATAGTTTCTTCATATATTTAATGTATACACTTACCAAAGTGTGGTAACTCATATGCACCCACTCTGCTGCATTTAAATTGATCTTATTTTAGTTAATCATTATATTTAACCCTTACACTGTCATGCCTTCCGATACACTTTTAACCTCGGCTGGCCACAACATTTTTGCAATTTTTCCCATTGTTTTGATTATCTATTGCTGCGTTGCTTGCGTTGGTAAAAGACCCCCAAAAAACATATATTTTCTGAAAGCACAAGCCAGGTAGATTAAAAAGAGGTTGCTACTTATTTTGTAGGTTCTGCAATAATTCCGCAAATGTTTATAAAATCAATATTAAACAATAAAAATACACATTTAAATTGATAAAGCACACTAAAATCAGTATCGGTGCACAAAAAAAAAAAAATTCCCACAATCTAAAAGATAAAACTGTATTGAGGTAATAAATAACAGTTATTTGTACATTTTAAATTGCGCCTTTTTTGCGAAACAGTAAAAAAAAAAATGAAGTAACGCAAAACTTATTTAAAAAATTGTTTGTGTATTGTGTTGGTGTGTGTGTTGGGATAAAATTATACAGGCGTACATTTTAATCGCAACACAGCGTATCACAGCGCAGGACAATGTATCACGCTTTGCCACACGCTGCTAGTTAAATTAATGTTATTTTGAAAAGAAAAAAAAATCAAGATGTGTTCTAACAATGCACCGCATGTGCATGGCATACAGCACAATATGGTGCATACTATTGCACGTGTATAATGTGGGGGGTGGGGTTTATTGTATTATTTATTTGGGGGTTTGGTTTTTTTTTACTGTGGGGGGGGGGGGCTAGGGGAAATATTAGGTATCTAAACAGCCCCCTGACTTTTCCCTTTTGAAATAGAAAAAGAAATTGAGGACACAGAGTCTTCAATTTCTTTTTCTGCAGCCTCAGCACTGTATGAATGAAGAGCACTCCGTACAGAGGCTTCCCATTTATCACAAACTGGTGAAAGTGAAATATTTAGTATCACCCAGTTATGAATGGGTAGAAGTGCTTCTCCCCATTCAGAAACTTATTAATGAACAGGAAGTGATGTGAAGCACTTCCTGTTCATGCATAACTGTGGACACATAGTACTATGTGTCCCCAGTTGTATACAAACATTGGAGTGATCAGCGATCACTCAAGTGTATGCTCTGCACACAGAGGATCAGTAAATGTTGGAGGTGCACCGAAATGGAAATTTCTAAACCGAAATAAAAAAAATTGTTAGGCAGAAACTTAAACCGAAAATGTTTTTTACTTTAATATAATTAATTTTTTTTAAAAGGAGAACTATGAGGTGAATGAAGATCACTCAGCCTCATTGTTCGAGCCGACGTGTGACAATTAAACTGTCACACGTCGGCTCAATAGATCGGGAAGTGAGCGAACACATACCGCAGCTCGCTCACTTCTCGATCCTGTCCCTTCAGAGAGCCGTGACTGTCACTCACGGCTCCCTGCAGGGGTTCCCCCTCACCCCGGTCCGATCCTCCAGCGTTGACTGGCGGAACGGACGGGGAGAGGGCGGGAACAGCTGGCTCTGCCTCCAGATAGGCAGAGCCAGCTGTCAATCACGCAGCTGGGCGGATCGATGTCGGGATCCGTCCCGGCTGCAGCTCGCGGTATACTGAGCTTTAGGTCACGGGAGGACGCTAGTTTGTGTCCTCCCGTGACCCTTAGGAGAACTATGGGGAAAAGCACTGACCCCATAGTTCTCCTTTTTAAATATTGTATTTATTTTTTATAAACGTTTTAATTTTTTTATATTTATTTTTATTAATTTTTTTAAATAAAAAAAATGTTTTTATACTTTACTTTTAGGGGCTTTGGGGAAATATTAGGGGTCTAAACAGACCCCTGATATTTCCCTTTTTAAA